AAAACAAGACATCCGAAATAAAGTTTTACTTTTATGACCTCTGGGTTTGAGACCCTGATGACTTGGCTATATGATGTCCGTTGAATCAGGCATCACAGTCCAATAGGTGTATCTTTAGAAAGCATCGCCATCATGAGTGGTTACATGGTGGGCATCAGCCACGGTGTGGCAACAACATGGACTCAATCGCTATACGCCATCATCCTTCATTAGGTTTGAAGAGTTTCTCTCTCTTAGCTTATCTTTTTGGTTGCATTAGGGACCAAGGCTTTTATTTTCAGGCAACATCACTTAGAATCTCTGTCGACTCCACTCGCAGGTATTAGTCATCCAGCGAAAGTGAACTGAGTTTGCTTACTCATGGTCACATTCCCTCGTTATCTCGACCGTGGAGAGCTGAAAACCCTTGTTCAAAAGCAGCTGAAGAGCAGCCGCTGAAGAAGAGGAGAGCCCGACTCCTTCAGTCTCCTCCAGGAATCAAAGCGGCGTTCCTGTCATATGTTTGCTCCTCACTAACACACACTGCAGCTGCAACAAGAATCCATTCCCCCTTAACGGCCGAGGTCTTATGATTCTGATTCATCTACAGCGCATCACAACTCAAGATCAATAAGACATGTGATGTAAGGAACCAATTACATTAACTCTGCGTGTTTTTGCTGCACAGTCACTCCACAGACTGTTGCTCATTGTGCCTCCTCGATCCTTTTTACATACTGCACTTTGCTTCGCTCTGAATATCTTTTGCATTTTGATTAGGTTCAAGTGACAGGCAGTCAGGGTGCCACGCTGAATACATTGGCTAAATCAACTCTCTTATACATCCAAATGGAAGGTAATAATCCCACTTGCGAGGGGATCAATCAAAAGCATAGACACAGTAACATGCGCGGCTTCCAAATCACTGTCATTTGTTGATATGCTATCTGACCTTTCTTTCCCAACGGCAACAGGAAAACTTTTTTTTGTCTAATTACGGCTGTGTATTTCTAATCAGGCACCGGGCCCTGTTTTGCAAATTAAGAACGGGCCATTATCTGCTGTGGATAGAATTTTAGGACAGCTAATTAAAAGTGAGTGACCACTTTTTGGCATTCTTTCCAAACGCAGGATTTTAAACTGTGTGTTGGATGAGGAACAGCAGTGGCTTGTTTTCCCCCTGCTTGATCCCTGACATTTTCTGTGGTTACACGTTTACAAAACACAACTGACTTTGTGACGCGCGAACGTTCGCTGCTGGCTGCTTATGTGGTTTTCAGCTGTGGTATTAATATCTTAGCATCTATTTAAATCTCAGCCTTCATAAATAACAGTATATACATATAGAATCATGTTTAGATATATATGATCTATGAATGTGATGTTGTGTTGCTCTCATTATGTTATATGTAAGTTTCTTCTGCATTTTATTTTTAAACCCAGGCGCATAGCAATTAACCAAACACATTCTCAGTGCAGTGTGCGGCGCATGTGACATATGCAAACACACACGTAAACAAAGACCTGACCAGAACGGAGCAGTGCTGCTTATCTGTATGCTGTTTATGCTCATTATTTTGTTGCTATGGATTCGTGATGTCACACAGACCGGCATCCCACATGCATCGCACATCACAGGCATCAGTCACCGCTTCATGGCAACTGCACTGTATACAGTGGTTACTATGACTCATGCTATCTGTGCATCAGGATCAGGGCGACCTCTGCTACCGCTGACGAGAATGTGCAGAAATTTGATTTGATGAGGCCGAGTTTCACAGAGGAGATGACAGAAGTGTCACTTTAGAGACATTAGCATGGTGAGTGTGCTGTGTTGGTGCTGAAACACAAACTGACATGAGTTCCAAAGAAACTCGCATGAAAAAGGCACTGTGGTAGTAATAAATGGAAGTCAGGGGTAAATGTTAACAGCATGGATCTGATGTTGTTTAGGGCAGTTGTCCTCAAAGTATGGTCAGGGAACCCCCAGGGGTTCTTAAAGGGGCTCCTGGGGGTCCACAGCAAAAATGGGAATAATTTATTTTCACTATAATTCCATCCATAAGTAGAACAATGACTCTTTCGGTCATGGCTTTCAAACACTTTCTGTAATAAAAGATCTAAGAGCAAAACTCTTATCAGATGGGGGCCCACAAGTTTGTATCAGTTTATGGGTCCTTGATGTGAAAAAGTTTGAGAACCCCTGGTTTAGGGCATTACATGTAAGGTGGTATGTGTATAGCAAAAAAAATGAAACAAAATTTTTTTTTAAAAATCTCTCCTGCCCATAACATCTAACATGAGCTGTGTCCCAATTCCATACTACATGCAGAGTCCAAGCAAGCCTGGAATTAGGTTCATAAAAATCAGAATCCACACAAATTCTACTTGAATTGTGCTGCTGATGGACATAATTGTCCCACATTATGCTCACAGAGAGACAGGAGAAGTTGCCCATAGCTGCAAAAAAATAAACAAATTGTGGTTGTTATCAAGACAGCATGAGAAATAAAACAAAAACGTCTTATCTTCATTGCATCTTTATGAAGTTAGGTGCCATTCCAAATTCATAGCTTCATCTCATAGTTGGCATTATGCCATGCTCTGGGATGCTGGGATGGAGCTGAAGGGAAAGATTCCCATGTTTATGACTTGTGATAATTTGTTGAGTTTGACTGACACAAGGAAACTCTTGTAGTTTGATTTTTTTTTTTTTTTTTTTTTAATCCAGATACATATTCTTTAGTGCCAAATCAGTTAGCAGTATATCTGGTTTCAGAATAATTAGTCCACTAATTGTAATTACAGTTTGGATATTGATATGAACAGTATTTACATGTCATAAATTACTCTGACATGACCTGTATATTTTTTCATTTCTTAACAATTACAATAATGCACAGTCCAATTCCCCATGCCTGCTGTATACTCTCACTGCATGTTGCATAAAAGAGAAGTATTTAGTGCTGAATACATACAGTATGTGCTTTGATATAAATACTCTATTGTCCCTCTATGCCACTTTATAAGGTCAGCAATGAATCACCGATGCTGCAGGGAAGCATGACTCTTCCCTTCCATTACCTATGATCTTGTATCACGACAAAGACCCCTGTCCATGCGCTTTGGTCTCTGTCCCTCCAAACTCCATACACTCATGACAAAATGTGATACTGCTGAGTTCTGCAAATGTGCCCACAGCTGAGATCTCAACAAAAGAGACTCCGTTGTGGAGGCGCTCGACCGGGCCAACGGGTCAAACAATGGTTCTCTGTTCCAAATATGTTGTTTGTCACATCGCCTGCCTTTAACTCGTCAATGCCGCTGTTGTTCCGCTTGACTTCAACTTTATCCCACATCTTATGCAACTGGATATGTAGTTTTACTCACATGCTCTGTATGTTTGGCGTTTAGTGAGCTGAATAATAGCCCAGCATTAGTCAGTGTTCTGATTGATGGGATTAAATAAGATATTCTTCTCTGAAAGGAGTGACGGATAGAGGGCACACATTCAAACCAATTAAAATGTTGTTTAAGGGAAGTAGGAACTTTACTCCTCACTTAACAAAATAAAAGCCTACTGTAATATTTTAAACCCATGGAATAATGAACTGCAAGATTTTTATGCTAACAACATAATAAAGCATGAAACTGAGTGCACATCAATACATCAGCATATTACCTCTGATTAATATTCATGCTTCATTGATCTCGGGGAGCAGGGATGAGGGGAAGCACTGATCACAGTAGAGCAATGATTATCTATAGTCAAAGGAGGGAAGCGCATTCCTGAAAACGTGCCAGTGTATTTATAACATGTCATATAACATGTCTAGAGCTGCCAGAGATATATTAGTGATTAGAAACTGTCACCATGCATGCACCATCAGCGGCCCGCGCTTTTCTTCTTTCCTGCCTGTAGAGGAAACAACCCGGGCCATGTGGTTTCATGTTCGTAATCGAGCATCGTAAAAAAAACACTGCTGCAAGAGAAGAGAGCTCACTTTCGTAGAAAGGGAAGAGCCACAGGTGATTGAGATGATTACACGCACACACACGCACGTACACACACACACACACACACACACACACGTATGCACTCACATAAGAGCACACACACATTAAATGCACATCATCTCCAGCACAAGCAAACCTGTCCCTCATGATATGCCTCAAGCTGCTGCCTCTACAATAACCTGCAGAGCATTTTGTGAATAATCATCTTTATGGCAACTCTATTATAACTTAATGGCTTATTAAAACTGTCTATACGGTCACAGGGAGACTCATAATAATTCTCAGGCATCTCTGGACGGCCATGAAAAGAAGAAGTCTATCAGTTTTATTTCATAGAGCACAGAAATGATCAGATCTTTGACAGTCCCCCTGAGCTCGCAGCCAGGCGACTCTCAATATTGTCTCCGTGATTAGCGCAGTGATACTGAGCCAGTCAGGTCTTTCATTGCATTTACATTCGAGCTTTAAAACACCACGAGAAGAGATGAAGTGTGTGTGTGTGTGTGTGTCTATTTGTGTGTGGGTTTGTGTGTCTGTGTGTGTGTGTGTGTGATGAAATAAAAAACAGTGAAGTGTGTCTATTTAGAGACTGAAGCGCAGCTCCACAGCCGCCGCCGCCGCCGCCAGCAGCAGCAGCAGCAGCAGCAGCAGCGGCACAGCGCTTCTCCTGCCAGTGGTCCGGAGAAGCTGAAACCCACATTTGAATCAGTAGAAAATTCGACTTCCTCGTTCTGGTACGAGAGGAGTCTGGGTTATATAGCGCTCTAAAAATAGCGCTGATTTAGTCCAATGGGAGCCGGAGACGCTTCGCAGCGCGCACCAACCACAGCACACAGGATGAGTCGGCTCTGGCTCGGCATTGGCCGGAGGTGGTCTGGTAGGCGGGACGCACCCTCCTGTGAGCTCATTGGTCGTCGTAGCGAAACGTAATGTAATCACATGGGGGTGGGTTTGTCTGTAATTTTGAATCGGGGGGGAAGTTTACAGTGCGCTGTCGGACTTTTGGAGAGTTCAGTGTTGTGCGCTCTCTGTGCGTCACACGCTCGAAAACCTCCACTGGAAGCGCACGACTCCACCGACTATTATACATGCAAATACAGCCGAGACTCCAGCTCCTCTGCGAACACAACAGGCTCCGTTTTCTCCCCAAGCTTGAATTCACTTCTACTTGTGGCTGCATCTTAGGAGTGAAATGGATGTCATCCCCATGTGTAGCATCTTCCAGGAGCTCCAGATCGTGCATGACACCGGATACTTTTCAGCTTTACCGTCTCTGGAGGAGTACTGGCAGCAGGTAACGACCCGATCCCTCTTGTCAGCCCTGACGGATCGTGCACCGGGTTCATGTGCGATTTGTTGTAGGCTACAGAAGTGCAAGGGAAAAGTGCGTAATATCGGGGGGAGGGGGCTGTGGGGGGGGGGGGGGGGGGGGGGGTGGCTGGAAAAACTTGCTTTCCACTGACAGCTGTCCGTGGACGTGCAAATGTCAAAGTTGTTTATGAGACCTCGCGTCTAGTTTGGTGCAAGTGTAAATATCAGTGTCCATGTTAAAAGTCGTTTGCTTGGTCCTCGGTTTACAGGGGAAGTGATGCAAGTTCCCTGAATGACAGATCTCTGTAATATTCCTTTAATATTTCCAAATGTTTGCAGTGTGGTGTCGTAGCTCACAGCGTCCCTGTCGTAACAAACTGACTTTTTACATACCTTATTTTAGTTGATGGGATTATTTCGATTTCTTAAGATTGTCACTATACGATCATTTTTGAAGTGACTTGTTGTCCCATTGTGTTTTTATGTTATAACACGCGTAGAGGTGTCTTCATTTTTTTTTAATTTTATTTACGTAATATTCATTAGTGACAATATTGCTGCTGGTTTTCGGCTCGTGCTCGCTGCTTGTGGAGACACATCGGCTTGTGATAGAATAAAAACACGCTGTGTTGCAGATTTTAGTAACTGAATGGTGAGCGGTGCGTCTTTGCGCGTATCTCCTCCTCTTCTCTCTCTCTCTCTCTCTCGCTCTTTCTCTCTCACTCTCGCGCTCTCTCTCTCTCTCGCTGCGCTCCCTCTCTGCCTCTCTTGCTCTCTGTCAGACACACACACACACATACTAGAGAGTGACAGACTGACAGAGGGAGAGAGAGGCTGATTTCATTTACAATTTGGCTCGACCAAGCGACCCCTGGATGACAGAACAGTGGAGTTTTATACTGGAAACGAAGGGAAAGGCTCAAGTCGCTTCTTGCTCTAGTTTTGGGAAATGAAATTAAATGAATTCGTTTCAGTCTTCCTCTTCTTCGTCTTCGTCTTCTTCTTCTGTCTCCTTCTGTCTATCAGATCTCTTCGGGCTTGAGGCCAAGTCGCCCTCCCAGGCATTTAAAGCTCGCGTGGGATTTATCCAGCACTGCTGACAAGAAACATTTGCCTCTCTCTCTCTCTCTCTCTCTCTCTCTCTCTCTCTCTCTCTTTCTCTCTCCCAAGTTACTACGATACAGTACAGTTCCCAAAATATTCCTGTAAAGTTGTGTTGCCCTTTTCACACCTAATTATTTCCTATGTTAGCGCTAAATTCCATCTGCTCCAGAGTTAAAGTGTATGTGTGATATTACTATTACTCCTCACCATGCTTAATGGAGATTATAATCCATTATGTTATTGCTAAACGATTTCAATAATGTTATTGTTGAGGCTTGTGCTTCTCCTGTTATTTAAATATAGTGTTTCCATAGAAATGGTCAAGGTTACCCTGTGATTGGCACACTGCTGTTGAAAGTCTCCAGTGATGTAGCTCTTTTGGACTCATCCTCTATGTTGCCTCTGAGCTGTTCATCCATTCATTCATTTAAATACTCTTTGGAGGCCTGAAGAGGTGAAGCTCTCCAGTGTGTTTTCACCAGAAAATAAACAGGTTTCAGAAGAGTTTTGGAAAAGTCAGCGAGCAATATTCATCAGACACCTTTTTAGCCGGGTGCCTCACTGGTTCATCCGAGTCTACTGTGATAGAAACATGGCTGCGAATTGGAATCTTCCTCATTCAGGAAACTGCACAGTCCCATCATCTGCGCTGTCCCTCATATCTGGCCTGTGCTGGGTGACTGCAGTGGGTTGAGGAAGTGCTCTCTCACTTCCTTTTCAAAAAGAAAATAAGCCCACAATCCTCAGCGAGCTCTTGCAGTATTCATGCCAGGCTTTTTATGGACCCCCGTGAACCAGACCTCCCTCCTCTCGGTCCCCAGTGTGCTATGTTATTTCTAGCGATGCCTCCGAATGCATTATTAAATCCACATTATGTTGAATAATTGATAGATTTAAAAGATCTACAAGCACTTCCCTAACCCAATGGGGGGGCTCTGTAGCATATGTAAATTTCATGACCAACCCCTAACGCACACCTCAACACACTCACGCACACAGACACGCACAACCGCATGCATGCGTTCGCGGGTAAGAGCACCTTGTTCTTGCATGCTCTCTGAAGGAAATGTGGTGCTTGTAATCTTCCCTGATATGGCCTCGCAGGGCACCCTTAGAACGTACTCGACTATCCTCTGCATAGGACATTGTGTCTTGCCTCGTTGATGCGAGCAGGAAGGAAGAAGGGTCAGTGGTGTTAGAGTCAGAGCATTTCCCCCTCCCGCTGCTGCTGCTGCTAAGAATAAACACCAGAGTCTGTGTTTCCTGTGGAAAAAAAAAAAAAAAAAATTCATTTGTTTTGGTGTTTTAGGGACTTTCTGGTTGAAGAGAAGCACTGTGTTACAGGCCTCAGGCTCTGTTCACCCGTCAAACTCACCGCTATCTCGTTTTTTCCCTCCACACAGACATGCCTCGAGCTGGAGAGGTACCTCCAGAGCGAGCCCTATGTCTCAGCCACGGACCTCAAGTTTGAGAACCAGGAGGACCTGTGGAGCAAGCTAATGCTGGCCTGCGGGGACAAGTCTAACGACACGGACCCAAAGATCCCCCACATCAAGGAGGAGGAAGACAATCAGGACAACCAGCACGTCGACACCGGCGGCTTCAACTCTGACGCCAGCAGCGAGGCCTCGGACAGCTCCGAGGAGCTCTCCCCTACCCTCGACTTCTCCTCCGGCTCTTTGACTGACATTCTGGGCGACGGTGGCGAAGACCTGGGCTCTGCCATCATCAGCACGCCGCCGTCCTCACCCGAGCTGGGCAAGGAGGGCTCGGTAGCCCGGGTGTGGAGTGGGATACAGACTGTGCTGCACTCGCCTGGGAAAATAAGGACTGGGGGCATGGAGAGGACCCTCGAGAGGTCGGGGCTCACCAGTGGGGAGACGTCGCCTGACGGGAGGAGGCGGGTGCACAGGTGTCAATTCAACGGGTGCAGGAAGGTGTACACCAAGAGCTCGCACCTCAAAGCACACCAGCGCACGCACACAGGTAAAGCTGCCAGACAGTGCGGTGCTTTTGCAAATGTCATGTCGGTGTAAGTGCAAACTCACTGTAGGTGGGGGGGGGGGGAACTATCCTGACAGCTATGACATCATGTTTTTGAAACAGAAAGAGAGAAAACCGTTCAAAAGTGAAAGCAAAATCAACTTAGATCCTCTGAAAAACGCTCCCACATACTTTGAATTGTTTGTCAGGAGGAATGCCCTCAACTGTGACCTAATTCACACAGAGGAACGTGATTTCATGCAGGAGGGGGGGGGGGCAGACGAGAGCGAGAAGGGTGGGGGTGGGGGGTGGAGGGTGGGTGAATGGGATGTTCTTTTGTGGCCAAGCAGGAACCCAGAGGATGTGGACTCTGAAAACACATCAACAGTCCTCGGATTTCACCATGGGAAAAGACTCAGGAACTCACTCGTTTGCATTCAACAGCCCCCCCCCCCAAAAAAAAAGAAAAAAAGAATGAAAGAAATAATGGGAATCTGACATTTGCAGTGTTTTGCCCAGGGTTCAAATGTAAGCAGCTTCCCTCGTCACCTCTGACCTCTGCCAGGCTGTTTACAGCTGTGTCGCCCATTAGCAGAGGAAGTCACATTCCTAGCATCCTTCACTGACCACGTCTGCCACATGGTTAATGGCCTTCAGGACCATTAGGAACAGTCTCTATTTTCTTTCCTGCAGCTCTCCCACATTACATAAGCCGTGTACTCGAGCAGCTCCTTAAAGCTGCATACCACAGCCCTCAAAATCCACAAGGCGCAAGATTGTTTTTCTCCTGAACGCACAGTAGTCAGCCCAATCTGCTTAGCACCTGCTTAGAAAACACATAGGGGCAAAGTTGCATTTGAAAAATGTCAGACATTCTGGCACTTTCATTGATAGCTCAGAATTACTACAATTACGGTGCTTGTCTGGGGGCAAATAATTACAGCGGCTAATTAAGGTTATTTGACAAAATCCTATCAGTGCAGTGTATTTTAGAGGTGAAAACCTGCAGAAACCCATTTCCTTTAGGACAAAAAGTAGCTTAAGATGTAAAGAAATCTTTCAACATTCGAAGAACTCTCTTGATAAACGCCTTCCTGTCGTCGACTTCCTGTTTATCCTCTGCAGAATGTTAATCACGTGAATCCATTGTGTGTTTTTTTTTTTTTTCTGTGGCAGGTGAGAAGCCCTACAGGTGTTCATGGGAGGGCTGCGAGTGGCGCTTTGCACGAAGCGATGAACTCACCAGACACTTCAGGAAGCACACTGGAGCAAAGCCATTCAAATGCAGTCACTGCGACAGGTGAGAGCGCCGGACATCAGTCAGTAAATGTTCATGATAGCTGGGGCCCCCCCCCCCCCCCGTTAGTGCAATATTACATGCAGCTGAGGAAGCTGAGAGCCGTCATGCTAAGATGATAAATAGTAACTGCTGTGAGTTATTGTTCGACTTCATGCCTCCTTCAAAGAAGCTCCTGAATATTAACCTCCAATTACAACAGTGCAGCTTTTCTCTTTACCTTTTGCCGCTAAGCACCTCCTTCACAAACAAAGACCATGTCACTTGCATGTGCAAATTAGTTTATCCAAATGACACTTTAGGCGGAGGCATGAATGAGTGTCAAGGACGGACTGACGGGGATGGGGGTTGAGGTCAAGAGTTAGATGAAGAGAGTTGAGTACAAGGGGATGAGCAGAGGGTCAAGTTGGGATTGTTGACGTGTGAAGAACATCTCAATGAGCCATCATAGCTTTTCCCCCCCCCCCCCTTTTAATGCACTATAATAATGTTGACTTTGCTAACATCACACATGCTAACTACCCTGGTTTTCTTCAGTTTATACTATAAACAACTGGCAATGTGAAACCAAACTCTTCTTCTTTATGAGAGGATTTTTCCGGGTAAAGAGAGAGAAACCAGGAAGTGAGTGGTTTAGAACAGCAAATGTAAAAGTGTACCTGCAGAAAACAGCTTCTCAGTCAAATCTTTTCTCTTTTTTTTTTTTCTCTTTGCTTTCTCAGGTGTTTCTCCCGTTCTGACCACCTGGCACTGCACATGAAGAGGCACATCTAAGATGGCCTCCTTGTCGAGAGCTCTGGGGGATGATTCTGGTTGATTGTCCCGACCTGTGTGGGGGATCAGCGAGGCCGGTGTGTCCTGGGAGCGCTAACAGGAGCACCGCCATGTTCCAGGCAGTGGAAAAACACGAAGCAACGCAGGCTATTATTTGCACCATACTTAGTGCCTCCAACACCTCGCTGTGGAGATTGCTCTTGAAAGGCTTTTTACAGAGGAGCGGGAGGGCGGGGAGAGACTCGAGAGAGAAAAAAAAAACAGAAAAAAAATAAATAAACGGGAAAAATCTGGGCTGGAGAAGATGGGAAGAGACTCTTCTGTATGGTGTTCGATGCTTTTTTTCCTGGAGGATTATGGGACTCCTGTGGGGGTGCCGTTCCTCCAATGACAGTGTGTTTGCCTGTGCGCATGAGGACTGTGAGTGCCTGCGACTGGGTGCCTGTGCTGGCTTTATGGAGCAGATGGAGCTTGTATTTGTGGAAGCTCGAGTGAATGAATGACATGGAGAGGGTGATGTTATGCGAGGGAGTCTTTTTTTTTTTTTTTTTTTTTTTTTTTTTTTTTTTTTTTTTGGGCGGGGGGAGGATAGCTGTTGTCTCTCTGAGAATGAATGCAAGCAAAAGAAAAAAAAAAAACAAAAAAAGGTTCTGTCTGTGATGTTTGAGTCTCTTGGCTGTGGAGAGGAGTAAGAGGGGTGGGGAGGGGTGCTTGTTTGGTCGAGCTGATTTTTGCGAGAGAGCGCCCCCTTTGTGCCCGGAGGTGGGACTGTAGCTCCCAGTTAAAAAGTGGGAGGTCGTTTTGTTTAGTGCAGCTATTAAATGTGCAATGTATTACGTAGCCTGTCTCAAACCATACACGCTATAAAAGCTCATTTTGTTGTCCATTGTGTAAGCTCTGTATCTTAAAAGGACAAAAACCAAAAAAAAAAAAAAAAAAAAATGACAACGGTTGTACACAAACAGTTATCGCCATTATAACAGAAGTTGCATGGGATCTGGGGGATGTGTTGCTCACCTGTTTGCTTATAGGACAACAAAATTCCATTCAAGAGCAGCTACCTTCATATTATGCTACCATAGTATTGTACAAAACACATAAGGCAGTCATTTTTTTTTTTTTTTTTTTTTTTTTTTAATTGATAATTTGGGGATACCACTATTGCTTGGCAACTGTCTTGACCATGGGATTTTTGTTCACTTTTCTTCACTTTTGCTCTTCTCTCTTTTTTTTTTTTTTCTATCTGTAAATGCACTGTTTACCTTACTGATGCCTTATGTAAGTGGCCTTGTCCTGTTAAATAGATCACTCTTTCTCTCTCACACACACCACCACACACACACACACCAAACGGGGGTTGCGAATGCAGTAGTTATTGTAGTAGTTATTGAATAGCTTTATAAAGGCTCTGATCCATACAGTCACACCTTTTTGCCCTTTTTGTCTCAAGACAGACTCTTCTAAACTCCTGAATAATAATAAAAAAAACCTATATATCAGCTTCATAATGACTGCCATTTTTACATTTCTGTGCATTCTATATCATAACTATATCAGAACTAAATCATATTCTTCAAAATGACCCAGGCCTGAGACAGAATTGTGGAGCACTTGGAAAAAGCAATTCAGTTTTGTAATGGTTTTACTACTATGTAGTATAAGATAGTGCACGGATGCGCATCAGAGAGACTGTAACTTGCTATCAAAGGTACAGAGTCTTGGAAACATGTTCTCATGAAATGTGGCATGCTCAGTCAGCAAGTTCCCGACAAATTTAAGATTTTTGCTGCAAAGAAAAACATTTACATCAGAGCCATTTATATCAGTTGATGTGTCAAAGGCTTGCAGGCTTAAAAGAAGGCAGCGTCCTTTTGAGTAATGACAGCATTCTCAGTCATGAGTCTGCTTTGTTGTGTTTGTGTGTTTTGGCGAGTCTCACCCTCGGGATGAGTCTGACTCTTTACTCAGTCCTGGTTCAAACAGCAACCCATCATCTGACTAAACGGTACCGAAAAAACCAGTTGAACCAGTTCAGCTGAGCTGCGTCGCAGGTCTAGAGGTTTCTGTCTTTTTCTCTGCGGGTGACCTGGGGAGAGAGACTAGAACCAGATGTATGTCTGTACTTCACTATATGCATGTTTTAACTTCAGTTACATGACTTCAACGCACTCCTCTGTGGGTTGATATAAATTCTCTGCTCTCTCGGATTTTTATCAAAATCCCTTCAGTTCACAATTAGGAAACATTTCGGAGCCACAGTGACGATGTATGGGAGACATATGGAAATGTTGAAAAAGAACTTGTCTGCTTTAAGTGGTCATAAAAAATTGGTGCCTGTCACTCAGTAGTCAACATCACAGGTAGCCTTGTTACAACTCAACAACTGTACAGGTGAACCTTAAAGAACATTCAAGAAAGTCAGTATGCCAATGTTTCTTTTTACACTGAGAAATGTCAAAAAAAAAAAAAATTACAAAGATTATGTACATTGTAAACTAAGAGAATTTTGTATGGAAGCTTCTATTTTGAAAGGATATGGGACCAAAAACAAAGTGCAAGTGTGTTGTTTCTAAACATGAACCAATAAAGACAAAGAGGCTGAAGAATTACTGTAAAATAGACACACTCCATTCTCCTTCATTTTGCTTCTGTAACATCTTTTTGTTTTTGATTTGACTGGAGAAAAGGTAGAGCAAATGTACATTTTAAAAAGGCATCAATAGCGCCTACACCTGTGGCCTATCATCTTTCAAGAAAAAAAAAACAAAACAAAAAAAAACAAAACAAAAAACAAAACGAAACAAAAAAAACAACTTTCAGACGTGAATTGTTCTGGACACTTGAATTGTTCTAATTTTGCATTCTGGTGCCTGCTAAGTATTATGTTTGTTTTTTTGTTTTTTTTTTATTTGCCATGTGATTTCTTTCTGAACTTTTCAAAGACCTGCAAAGACGCCCTATCTTTAGCTAGAGAATCTTTATTGGATAAACATGGAGATAAAATATGAGGCTCTATTTTTGTTTGTTTTATGTTATAACAAGATTTTTTCATTTGAAATTGTTTTGTAAAATAGTTTCTGTATGAATGTATTTTTTATTGGAAAATCGATAAAAAGAATTTATTGGATCTAAATGTGTTTTTTTGGTTTTTCTTTCTCCTGTAGTTCCTCCCACGACACGGTCAAACAGGAAGTGTTTGTTTACAGGATATTCAGTAGATTCCCAAAAGGGAAATTAACTCAGTTGCCCTCCTTTCCCCCAGAGAGGTCAAAGGTCAGGCCAGCTACAGAACTGCCCCATACTGGCAGGAATTCAGTGACTGGAACCAGAGCGGGTTAGATGTTAATCATCCGCAATTCTTTTTTTAAAACCTTGACATTGAAGTATTATGCTTGGGTCTGTCAGTAATAATAACAAAGCCTGGTGTTATTTGACATTTTTATTATAGTCAACAAATCCCATAAAAAAGCTTTCAAACCCAGATAAAGATGAAAATCTTTAGAAATGGGTCACAAGTATTGTAGTTTTAATTTTAAAAATAACAATTTCCTAAAACAGCTGGTCACTGTAGTTTTTAGCAAGCGTTACTCAGACAGGAGGAAATTGTGCATTTGTTGGGGACTACTTTCAGTGGCGCAATAATACACATTTGGTGCTCTAGTGAGTATTTCTGACAACAGAACAGCATATTTTACATTGAGTCAAAATAAAGTGCAGTATGTGAGTTCATGGTATTGAGGGAACATGTCACGCAGTGCAACAGTTTGGCGCATTGATGTGTTTTTAATAGTGTTTGGAAACAACGGCGCTCTATGGCACAGATGAATGAGATGTATCAAGCAGACAACACTTGTTATTGGGATCATTTAATTATTAGGCTTTGGTAATTTAATGAGAATAATAAACGTACAGAAAATCACCAGACTTATCCTTTCAACTGCTGAGGTGTGGGTCACGGTCAGTCTGGGAACATGAGTCCACTGAACCAGAAACATGAGCAGTCAGATGATCAGATAGGTTTTGAGCAAACCTCCGTCAAAACTCATTTCGAGCCAAACTGTAAAATTGTAAAACTCTCCATCACAGCTTAAAGACCAGTTTCCTGGTTTAACTGTGACCTGTCATACTTCAGCATACACAGTGTTTTCCTGTAATAAGGGATTATTACTGACATTTTAGGTGTGTCTACTTTCAGTTTAAAGTTCCAATAAAATGATTTAGTTAATCTGGATAAGCTGTTGACTTGTTGGAACCTGTCACCAAGATTTCATTGCAGGAATGTCACCACGATCCCAGAAACTGTAACTGTCCTTTTTAAATAAAGTCATTTCATGATCCTAAACTCCCTATAGAAGCAGCTGGGAAGCTTATGTCATGTAGAAATCTGGCAAAAAAAAAGAGAATAATCTGATTATTCTTCGATATATTCATGATCAGGATGCTTAGATGGGAAGCTTATCCCAAGTTCTACATTAGAACGACGTTGTGAGCCACTTGGTAGAACGTGCATTGTGAGGACAATCTGTTCCCCCTGCTCCAGCCAAGAGCGCAGAGTTTTCATCTTACTCTCCAAGAAATTTATGCAAATTAAGTTGTGCCGCAAACAAATCCCAGATAAGAGCTGTGCACACTACACAGACAAATAGCCTCTTCATCTCCGATTGCAAGCACAAAGTGCTTCAGCTTTAACACTGCTCCACCAAGCCGGCCACTCTCCGTACCCTAAAGCCTCTAAAGACCTGAAGCACTCTTAAGAGTTTTTTTTTTTTTTTTTTTTAAAGATATATTTATTGGAATTCAAATTCAAATTGCCAGAACTAAAAACTGCACAATATAATAAAATACACAAGTAAGGAAACACAGTATGTGGAGACCAGGGGGCGACAATATGTTATTGCCTATTAAAGGATCTTATGTGCCCTGAAATAATTTGGAGGAAGTTGGTGCTTCAAGGTAATGAGTAATTGGGCACAATCTTGATTTGCATTGCCGCACTGTCAATTATTTTGTGGGCAAAATAATGGCATTTATATTAATTAAATATGACTCACCTTATTTTCTTTCTCTAGAGTAAAGTGTATTCAGTCACAGACATGGTCATCTGGTTTGGTCAGTTTAGATGTGAAAGTGGATCCTTCTCCCTACATGGAGCTTGAGGTGCTTATAAGACAGGGACTTATGTTTCTACACAGGCACTTGTGAAAGTTTAATAAGGGATAGTTACACCAGAGCTGTTGTGATGGGCAGCTTTAATATACTTTTACTAAGTCAATAGAACACATTATTTTAAGAACAATGAGACTAATAGTTGTGGAGACGTAAATTAGAAATGTAGGACAACGTTTATTGAGAGAGTCAATGTAAACTGACTGACCGGACTGCCCACAACAACATGTTACTCCAGTTCCTACTGCTACAGTACCTTAACCCCAGCTCCTCTATTAGTTTAATTTGAGGGAATTATTTGAGAAGACATTAGTAATTCAAGGCCGCATATTATTAATTCAAGGGAGTAAACTTATTAA